GGCGAAGTGGAGATTTGACCCTGAGTCTCCCAAATCCTTGTGTAAAATTCTTAACCCAATATTCAGTGCAGACTGCCAGCATTCTAATATTTCTTACTCTGGGCCAACAGTGCCTTGAAATACACAGCGGACCCTAGTATTCATCATATAATATTGTCCTTTCCCTATGCTTATGCTATATCGTAGCTTTCAGTCATAAGATCTTCAGTGAAAGGGGTAAATGGTATGGGCTGCTGTTCATAGCTGAGCTTTATTGCTTGTGTCAAAGCTCTGTATGTATAACTCTGGAATAAAACTCAAAACCATTTTTGGCTTCAGAAGAAAGTAAGGTAAAAGTTTCCCTTGCTCGAAAGCCAGTCAAATCTGACTTAGGGGGCGGTGCTCATCTCCGTTTCCAAGCTAAAGAGTCGGCGCTGTCCGAAGACGTTTCCGTGGTCATGTGGCCAGCATGACTAAACGCCGAGGTGCACGGAACACTGTTACCTTCCCATCAAAGCAGTACCTATTTATCTACTTGCAATTTCTTGCTTTCGAACTGCTAGGGTGGCAGGAGCTGGGGCCAGAGATGGGAGCTCACTCTGTCACACAGCACTAGGGTCTCAAACTGCTGTACTATAGACCTTCAAGTCTGCAGCTCAGTGTCTTAACTTTTGAGCTACCTTGGCCCTTAAGAAAGTAAAGGTAGTGGCAATGTCTTACAACCCCCCCTCTACTAAGTGAAGAGTCCTTTCCTTCAGTGGCAGGGAGTGAAAAGGTCAGATCTGATGATCTGTCAGCAGAAGGCACTGATAGTTGTCAAACTTCCCTCTGTTTTCCTCCCATCAGCAGTCCTTTACAACCCCAGGAAGTTGATTTGCAGGACCTGCTTGAAGTAACAGCCACACAGGTTGGTGGGCTGCCACCATGAGGGGGAAGGGAACAAAATAGCCCTTCCTGCTAATTCTGCTCATGGAGCTTGACTGAAGAGGCAGGAAGGAGCAGTTTCACCCATTTCCCCCTCTTTGGGGTTTTTTCCCCACTGGGTCTTTGCTCTGTCTTGGCTTCTTAACTGCATCAGTTTTCCCCCTCCTTTACACACAGTATTGTTTACCTAGTCGGTTGTTGTTCTCCTGGTTTTTCTTTCAGGTTTTCTCATGTATTTTCAGACCATTTTGCAGTGATATGAAAAAAAACCCACTTCCTCCAAAAAACAACAACAACACTCAAATCCTGTATGTGGGTGGGACCAATTCAGTCAAGAAGCCAAGCTGGAACAAAAACCTGGTGTGGAAAAGACCTCTCTTATGCTCCACCAACCTGTTGTGAATACTCAGTGTGTCTCCTGTGATCCCCAGAACCTGTGCTTCTGGAATAGAAAGGGATTGCTGTGGGAAGGAGAAGGGGGGGGGAGAGATCCATGCCCCTTACGTGAGTAGATCACTGGCTCCAACCCATCTCTTCTGGCATAGAGTGGAAACTGTAAATTAAGGCTGCTACCTTATCTTCCTGGCCATGTGGGCAATACAGATGTTTGTGTAATGTGACATTTCATGCTCATGACATGTCTAACTTGGGCCCCAGTCCATGCAGCTATACTTTCCCCTTGTTCTGTTAGGATTTTTTTTCAAATTGACCTTGCTGTTACATCCATTCCCTCAGATGGTTATTCCATGTCATTAATTTGAATGTGTAACCAAATTCTTAATAAACACAGGACTGACTCAACCAATGTTCCCTCTAAGCTGTGGAGTCTTGTGAGCAAAAATTCTACTTTGTGAGCTCCTGGCATTAAAGTTGTGAGCGAGCGAGTTGGCTGCTGCATAAATTGGTTTGCTCTGGAGCTCTCCTTCCTGAGCTGAGACAAAAATGTGTGAGCCAGAAGCTAAAAAACATTGAGCTAGCTCACACCAACTCAGCTTAGAGGGAACACTGGACTCGACATTCATCATTGTTTCTGACATGTGGAGGAAGTGAATTGTGGCTAACAGAACTAGGGAATGTGTAGCTCTGTGGAGCCCATGTAAATGTGATGTGGAAGTTATGGTAGCAGATTTAACATGCAGTTTTGCGTCTCAAACACATAATGAGTGAGATTGTAACTCTGTTAAATTGAGACTTCTTACCATTCCGTTCCTACTTAAAAGTGAAAGTATTGAAACTACATGAGCCCTTGGTGGGGTAGAAGTAGCTAAATATTCCAAGCCTTTCCACAGAGTAGGAGCTGCTGTATAATAGCTGTTTTATACTAACGTTTTAAAGTAGCCTAAACTTTAAATCTAGACTCCAAAAGCAGTCTGTAAAGTTCTAAAGAGTTGGCCCTGGTGTAGCCAGAGACTCAATGGCAATATGCACACTAAACTGGGGAGTGGCCATAGCTCAATGGCAGAGCGTCTGCTTTGTTTCTGGAAGGTCTCAGGTTCAGACCCTGGTATCTCTAGTTAAAATGTTCAGGTGGTAGGTGATGAAAAAGACCCGTACTCACAGTCTCATGTTGCTGGATAATGGTTTCCATGCGGAAGGGGTGGTGCTGCCCTTGATAAACCAATGGTCTGACTTAGTATAAGGCAGCTTCATATATGTTCATGTATGCAATTTCTTAAGTATATTGGGGGCTCTGAAAGAAATGGTCTCCTATCTCTTTGTCCAGTAAGAAACTTTGCATATGTACGTTTTCCTTCAGTTTTTTTTAATGATGTTCCTTTTTCAATGACTTCTAAGAGTTCCTTAGTTTGACTGTCATGCCATAGTTCCTTCTTGACTTTCTCTTTTAATATCTGTCTGCATATTAGGGGAATGGGTATTGATCTATTTAGGTTCTTACGGTTGAGAAGGTATCCCATTTTGGTGCACAACATACTACTCTGCAAAAGATGACCTCTGGTTTCTTTGGTTTGTCTTATGATGCATGTGTGGGTTTTGAATAATAAATGTCAGTTTTGTCAGCCACACAATGGATGTTGCCAGAAAAATATGGAGACTGGTTGATAGCACATTTCGGATACATGAGTATCAAAATGAAACTGATATGGGTCTCTGTGAAACGGCGCTAAACATTGCAGCACGTACCAATGGTACGTTGGGTTATGCATCTGGAACAGACCTAAATCTCTTCATCTGAATTAGTGGAAATGTCAAATGTAATTTTGGCTTTGGGTGCAAGCTGGAGCTCTTGGCCTGTAGCTCACAGTTGGTAACCTTGGAGGAACAAGCTATCAAATCCCACCCAGCTCAAGAAGACTTGTTTTGTTTGTTTGGTTTATTTATATTGATTTTTTTTTTGAGCCACTGACTCCCTGCAGGGGAGAAAAGTGGGCTATAAATACTTAAGTACATGAAAAATGTTTGAGTCACAGCTGTGGAGCCTAACTTGGAGGTGGGGCAAATTGATGTCTTGTTAGGCCATATTTTTAGATTAAGCTTGACTAGTGGCTTAAGTTATGCAGGATGGTGATAGTTGTTGAGGGTCATTAATCTACATCAGAGGTGTCAAACTCATTTGTCACGAGGGCCGGATCTGATATAAATGTCACTTTGTCGGGCTGGGTCATGTGTGCCATAAAATGTAATGCCAGGTACCGGAGACAAAAACTGTATGAAGGACAGCAGGTGGTAAGCTCTGAGTTGGTATATCCTCACTGCAAGATGCCATGGGCTGGGAGGGGGATGGAGAGGAAAACCCACATAGGCAGGGGGGGATAGGGTCTCATTATCTGAACAGCAAGGGAGCTGAATGATAGCACCAGAGTGCAGGGTAGAGGTAGAAGGGCTGAAGTGTGGCAAGGCCTAAGAAGCAGGTTGCAATAATTGAGACAGGAGGCAGCCAGGGCAAGAAGAGGTACTTTTGTAATGTGTGTGTGGCATCTAAATTTTAAAAGTAGGTCTCCTTTAACTCGATATACCATTGCCTGCTCAAAAGTTATTGTTTTCAGGAAGGGGGGGGGACCTGATCTACATGATACTTCTAGCGTAAGATATACCTGTAAACTTGACAGAGGGAGGTGAGAAAAGGATGATGGGATATGCATGTGTATTTGTATGCATATACACAGAAAGCACAGTTATTAACATGCATATGTTTGTTTCAGTTGGGGTAAATGCTTAAAGCTTATTCCGAAGACTTGATGGAACACATTGGTGTAGAGAGTGGATGTGAGAGAAAATGTGAGGGGGGCTTAATATAGCTGTTTACTGAGAGAGTTCCAGACATGGAGAGCAGCAATGAGGAATAATTGTCTAAGACAGTGGTGGCGAACCTATGGCACGGGTGCCAGAGGTGGCACTCAGAGCCCTCTCTGTGGGGACGCGTGCCATTGCCCGAGCCAGGCCCAGACCATCATTAAAGTGTCGAATTCTCTGCCAAATAATTTTAAGTAAATGAAAGCATTTGGGATTGCTTTCCTTACTTTGTTTGGATCATCTTAAGTTAATGTATGAGTTGTTTTTTCTAAAGTAAAACCTCAGTATTCAGGTTAAATTGCCGTGTTGGCACTTTGCGATAAATAAGTGGGTTTTGGGTCACAGTTTGGGCACTCGGTCTCTAAACGCCATCACTGGTCTAAGAGCTAGGCTGTTGGCAGGGAAGAGTCAAAGTAATGACAAGATCAGGAAAAAAATAATAAAACGGGAAGGCAAGTGCTTTCAGAGAGCTTTAAAGACAAAGTTTGTACTAGACGTGAGATAGGATGGGAAAGCCAATGGAGGTCTGAGAGTGTGTGTGTGTGTGGGGGGATAGGGTCTCACAGCAAGGGAGCTGAATGACAGCACCAGAGTGCAGGGTAGAGGTAGAAGGGCTGAAGTGTGGCAAGGCCTAAGAAGCAGGTTGCAATAATTGAGACAGGAGGCAGCCAGGGCAAGAAGAGGTACTTTTGTAATGTGTGTGTGGCATCTAAATTTTAAAAGTAGGTCTCCTTTAACTCGATATACCATTGCCTGCTCAAAAGTTATTGTTTTCAGGAAGGGGGGGGGAGCACTATATTTGGGTCCAAGTAGTAAATAGATGGGCTTCTACCTTTTTAAAACAGGTGCTTCGTGACCAGGGCAGGGCTGCTGTTGGTAGGAGGATCTCAGAGAACAGCTTTTCATCAGAGGACCTTGACTTCAGTTCTGGAGAAAGAAACCACAACGCCTCAGGTAAGGCAAGGTTGAGTACTATTTAAATTGGAATGTTCTGTAGGCCATTCTAGATGCAGAAGCCATTCTTCCCTTTAGGTGGAGTGTGAGTGTGATACCCCCTCCCCCCCATGCACACAGACTCAGGATGTTGGAGGACAGTAATGTGCCTTGCCACTCATACCTCGGGTAGAACAGAATTAGCTGGTAGATGCTGATGAACTCAGTACCTGTGGTCTTCACAGCTGAATGTAAGTAATGTATCTGTTGCCTTTTTGGTGATGTGTGCTGTTGGGAAGCTACAATAGACCCTGAGCTCCTAAAATGTGTGAAGAATATGTTCATGAGATTAAAACGATCAGCGTGGCCATGTCACATTACAGGGAGTGCTGCGAGTTCACACCATTCACAGGCTTGTGTTGTTTCCATACCATGTGAAATAGTGCATGGATGGCATTATGTGTGCACATGTGTATGAGAAGAAGCAAATTACAATGGTGTGGAACCTCATTGGGGGAAATTGGTCTTCCATTTTAAAATGTTCAACCGCTCCCTATCTTAAATTCAGATTTCTATCTTTGTATTTTGTATATTATGACTGTTTTATGCTTACTGTGTATGTTGGTCTCAAGGCCGCAATAATAAACTAACTAAAAACCGTTCCCCATGTTGGTGGGTAAACCAAGAACTCTGAAATGCACCAGTGCCCCAAGTGCTACTTGACAGTGCTTTGCTTGCTGTACAAATTTTGGAGTAACTTAAAAGCCTCAAACGCTGTTTGCTTACTTGCAGCTTGTGGGTGACATTGTGCTGCCATCAATTCCACTATTCAGAATGAATTGATGCAAGCAAAAAGAAAGGGGAGGGAAGCAGAAACCTACTATCATTTTTAGGGTGGACACAAAATTATATTCTGAGTAGAAGAACGTGAAATAAGGGCATGACCAGTCGCAGCTGTGGCATGACTCGGCTTGGGTTACAGTCAATCCTGTTGAACGGTGCTGGGAAAATGTAAAGCCCAGCCCAGCCTGACTAGCCCAATCTAGTTAGAGCTTTGAAGTTAAGTAGGGTCAGCCGGGGTTCGTATTTGGATGGGAGACACACACACACACACCCCGGAAGACTAGGGCTGCTATGTAGAGGAAGGCAATGGCAAACCACCTCTGCTTATCTCTTGCTTTGAAAACCCCATGGTCCCGAGGCTGCCATGAGTCTGTTGCATCCTGGTGGCATTTTTTTTATTTTATGGGCATGGGTAAGGCAGGGGGCATGAAGAGAAGCTAACTCATGCTGCTGCCAGCTGTGCCTCTGACTCTTTTTCCCAATGATTCTTTTAAAAGCTTTTTTTTCTGCCAGCTGGGCTCCCAGTCAGGAGCAGAAACTCACAAGTGGTTTTGGAGGCAAAAGCTTGGGTAACAGAAGGGTTCATCCCCCACCCCTTACTTGGCTATGCAGTTTTGTTAGAAGGGATTAGGCAGTGTCCTAACCCTGGCAAAGAAGCCCGCTGCGATCACATCCACTTTGATCCTTGGTTCGCAAAGGAAGCTGTGGAACCTTGAAAACTGATCTCCTCTAATCCGTTTAGGTATAATAATCCTATCTTGTCTAGGAGGAGGGGTTTTAACCCTTCTGGTGGCTCTCTGCAGCCTCTTTTGTTTAAATAAACTGTCCTTCCAAAATGTTTGATTCAGTCTTTTATGAGGGCAAATGCCCCTGTCTGCCTTGTTCTAGGTCATCCTCTATGCAGCTCTCCACCACCTAGCTCAGAGAGCAGGAAAAACCAGGAGGCGCCTCGTTTGTCTGAAACATCAGTCAAGGATAGACTTGCTAAGTACCAGGCAGCGGTATCCAAGCAGGGCAGCTCCAGCAGTCAGTTGGTAGGTTCCTCTTTTTTCCCCCTTCTAAGTCTCTGGCTGTTGGTTTTCCAGAGCACTCTGTCTAGGGAGATGTTTCTAATGAAAACTAGCTTGTTAAAAGGTTGATTGTGGGTTGAAGGAAACAAGATAATTCACATTCTTTTTGTGCCTGTGATGAGGACAGTGGGAGGGTCTCTTGTTCATCTTAGGAGAAGATGAGTATTCTGTGTTCTAAAGCTACTGAACAAACTCTTCCATTTCCTTCTGGAATGCCGCTGTCTATTTGCATGCGTACAGCACCCTGCCTCTGAGGATCTCTGTATACAATAGGTGCTCAGCCTTGCTAACCTGCAAGGGTGATGTGACTTGCCCCAAAGGTGAGTGATGTGACTTGCCCCAAAGGTGATGTGACTTTCTATACAATAGGTGCTCAGCCTTGCTAACCTGCTGGGAGCTAAGGGAAGCTGGGGCTAAAGGGTGATGTGACTTGCCCCAAAGGTGATGTGACTGACTCAGCCTTTCTCTTCCCACCCCCAGCTTTCTGGTTCATTGGCATGTGCTTTAAATAATTGTCTCTTTCCCCTTCTATCTACATATCTATGTTACCTGGGTCTGCTAATGCTGTTCTGTTGTGCTTGATCCTGTATTTGCTTAACACACATTTGAATAGGAGTCATGAAGGTGGTATAATTTGGAAGGAAAGATCTAGCCTCTTTGCTTCAGTGTGGGAATTATGTGCTTTGATCCAGTTGTGTGCTTTGAACCAATACTTGGAGGGTTAGGTCAGCCATGTGTTGGTTCTCCCTAGCCCAGTGTTTCCATAATCCTCAAATAGTGGATGTATATTTTTTTTTCTATTCTGAGTTTAAAATGGCAAGGACTCTTTAACAGTAGAGTACGTAAGAGTAAGAATCATCATGTGCTTTTTGCAAGGAGACAAACAGAGCTTGTGTAGAGTAACTGTGCTGTATCTCTGCATCAGGTGACTCGGTAACTCACTTGAGCCTTTGCGGTAGAAATGGGGCAGTATTAGCATTAGAAGATGATTGAAAACAGGCCAGAACAGTAAATCATGCAGAGATGCAGTAGGCAAGCCCCTCTGTTACTAGATATTCCTATAAGCCTTTTATAATGTTTTTTGCGCAACCCAGAAGTATGCCTCAGCCATAGCCAAATTGACATAATAAAAGTGGATTAAGTAACAAACTGGGAAGCTAGTCTTAATTTCTGCCTTTCTATGTTGAAAAGATCTTTGAAAATTCTTAGGCTTCTCAGATCTGTCATGAATGAGGCTGTCTGTACCTTGCTGTTGGAACACTCCTTGCTGTAGCACAAGGATCTCTCCATGCCATCTGCAGTTCCTATGCTTCATTTCAGTAATTGAAAGGAATTTAATGAGTAATTGCACCTCGTGTAACAAATCTGCTTAAGTGCTAAGGGCCAGTTCTAAAGCTTGCCTTTCTTCTGTTCTGTGTTCCAGTTTTCTAGCTTTACCTACTCAAATGACAGGTGTCAGCAGTTTTACTGGCTTCTAAGGAACAAGTAAGCCAACGGACTGCTGCTTATTGCATGAGCATGCCTAATACTGCTGCTGACTGGCCTGAAGTGAAATGTCCTGTTCCTTTAAGAGAGGCTTCATGTGTGGACATGAGCAGCTAAAGCTTTTGATGGCATGGAGGTAAATAACATCACCTGGCAAATGCCATCCCATTAAGCCTCTATTAAAGGGACTAGACACTTCTTCTCCAGGGTAGTTGGCAAGCTTAAATTTCCTAGGCATTAATATTGGCAAGTACCATGTGCCCTGTCTTACAAGAATATGATATATGGTAACCTAGGTGAATGTTTGTTCTAAGGGGGAAAGCAGCTTTCGGAAATAGACTATTTGGAGTGCAGTGGCTGGGGGTCTGGATTGATTTCTCTGTCCACCATTGGTCTCATTGTAACTGACCCTTCTCCCAACCCTGTCTACCCTGGTAGAGTCCCAGGAGCATGCTAATAACATCAGTGGTAACTTTCAAATACTGTAGGGTATTAGGTTTCAGAGGGATAGCTGTGTTAATTGATTTCAGCAGAATTAAACCAGAGCCCAGTGGCTCCTTAAAGGCTATCAGTTTGCCCCACTGTAAGCTTCTGTGAGTCAGAGCTTACTTCATGAAATGATGAAGCAAGCTCCGATTCACAAAAGGCTTATGCTGGAATAATTCGTCTTAATTGTTAAAGTACCGTTGTACTTCTGTTTAATTTTGCTGCAGTGTGGTGACTCCCAGTTTGGGAGCAAAATTACATGGGTTGATTTTTTGTTTGTTTTGTTTCCTTTTTTAAAAGCACACTGTGTGTGGTCCCCCCTCCCCACCTGTCAAAGGAGAGTGAATTTTTTTAAAAATCCAGCGAGACTAAAATGAAACATGCCACGGTCCTTTAAATTTTTTTCCTACTTTGAGTCTGTTCTCTGCAAGACGATATCACTTAAGTAATCCCCTCACTTGACAGAAGATTATCTTATAAAAGGCATGCACAGAAAATCCTGCTGTTTTTCTGTGAGAAGAGATGCATGCTTCTTTGGTGACCTGAGTGCTAATTTGTGCTGAAGCCCAACAGCTGGTTTGGGTCAGAGTTCAGTAGATATTTCTTTTGTGGTGTTCCTAGTGAGTAATGTCTGGCAATTTTAAAAGGTTCTAGAGGTAAGTAGTAAGTGTTTAATGTGGTGGAGCTTTGGGGCCAAACAGGATGTGAGTGGAGAGTTCAATGTCTGGAGTGCTCAGCAACTTCCCTTGGTTCAGTCTGAAGTTCTGAGTACTGTGGGGAGGGGCAGGGTTGCGTTCTCTTTTCCCACTGGTCTTTTCCAGAATCAATGATACTGCCTGTGTCTTCTAGAAAAGCCCAACACAATATTCTCCCGATGTTTGTGGAGGGGGAAGAGATGTCCCTTTCAGGTAGGCTTTTATAGGACATGAAGGAAGAGATGGCAGGCTCCCCCAGAATGGACACATTTTGGCTTGATACCCCTTCAGTGTCTTGCCTGAAAACATGAAGATGCCTTATATTGAATCAGACTATTAGTACATCAAAGACAGTGGTGCCTACTCAGACTGGAAGTGGCTCTCCTGGGATCTGGCATAAGCCGTGCATATTATCCGCTCCCTGATCCTTTTTACCAGAGGTGCCGGGGTTGAACCTGAGACTTTCTGTATGCAAAGCAGGGGCTCTTCTGTGGAGCCCTACAGCTCCTCCCCGGAGGGCAAAGCAGTTCTGTATTGTAATGCAGACAGGATCATATAGCTCTTCCAGGAAGGGGGGGGGGAGCTTGCCACCAACCCTCAAAGCAAGGCCTTGTCACTGAAATAATTTTTTTTATTAGATGTTTGTGGCTTTATCGCACACGAGGTGGTTACAGACTGCGTCTGGCAATGGGTGTTCAGTAATGAAGGCATCGGTTCTGCTTCTCCTTCTCCAACAGTGGAGTGCACAGAGGCCCCCTTTAAAAAGAGGGAAACAGGCAGGTCCTCACGGTGGCAAGGCTCCCTGCCTTCACATTTGTACAGGTTAATGTTCCTGGTACCTCATCTGGACTAGCGTAGCACTAAAAGGCAAGTGATTTCCATTGCTGGAAAGTAAGCATGATCTGTATTACCTTCAAAAGCAAACACAGTAAACGTTTCTTTATCATGCACTCGTGGAGAATGGTAGTTGTTGGTTAATCAGATGTGCTGGATATGCAAACTTATTGCTGTATTCTGCCCACTACCAGAGGCAATTGCAGCAGCCAAGCCTCAAGCCATTGGGAGTGCCATGGCAACAGCTCCCATGCCTGACAGGACTCCCTCCCCCCCCAGCCATGGAGTCATCTTACAGAGCAGGCAGACAAGTGGGGCAGCTACCTGGGAACCTGCCAGCAGAGCTGGCTCCCAACAGCTTGGGGCAAAGTGAAAAAGAAGGAGGTGCTTAAGGTTGATGTCAGTCGGTAGCACCTTCAGACACACTCCAGACAATGTCTGCAGATATCAAGCAGGGCAGCTGGAGAGGTGGGAGTGGCCTCCACCAATTCCTGAAGAAGCAGGGGCATGGTGGCTGTGGGGGAGGAGCTTGTCCTCTGGCTAATGCCAGTCAGCTGTGCATTCTGGGTAATCAGGCATCAAATAACAAAGCTTTTGCTGTATATCAGAATATTGCTTGAGTCCAGTGGCACCTTTAAGATCAAGAAAGTTTTATTCTTGGTGTAAGCTTTCATGTTGGTCTTAAAGTTGCCATTCTACTCAAACTTTGTTCTTATGCTTCAGACCAACATGGCTACCTATCTGAATCTAACAGAACATTATTATGGTTTTGTATATTGTAAGGGTCCCCCCCTCTTGCCCCTCTCCCTTTGAGAGGGTGACTTGCTTAATGCTGAATCTTATTTCCACCTTAAGTGCTGCCTTCTCCTTTTTTTCCTCTGTGTTCTATAATATGTACACACCACTCTCAAACTTTCCGTAAGGACTAAAGTATGCAACAGTCAAGTGCTTTGTCATTCCGTAGAATGAGATTCGAACCAATGAAAACGAAGTCAAGAATTACAGTTGTGAGCTGAAAGAAAATTGGCCTCCAAGCTCTGAAGACTTCTTTCCACAGCAGGACGGGGAGAAGGTAAGCAATGGTTGGGTTGGCTGAAGATCAAAACCAACTTCATTTGAAATGAAACTGCTTGAAGAAGCACACCCAGAACAACGTAAAATCACAGCATCTGGAAACTGACTTTTATCTACTGATGCAATTTGTTTGCAGGCTGTTTCTGAGGTTCTGTTTTAATGTTCATGGAAAACAGAACTGAATTTTAGACTTAGGTTTATCTGTGAAGTGTGCTTACCAAGATCCATGCTAAGTCCACTAGGAGGTTTTCCTGTACATAGCTCCACTGAAAGCCATCAGGGTATCTTCTTGCACAAAGCTCACTTGCTTCTTGTAATGATGCTACTGGAACAGGAAAACAGAAAGACTATGTTCATCAGCTTTGAGCAAGTCACAGAAACCATTGCTTCCTGATCATATTTTTTTTAAACCTTTGCCCCATTTTGTTGTTAAATAGTTGTTTTCTAATTGGATTTTGTTGAAAATGGTGTATTTTCAGATGGAAAAATGCTGTACAAATGCAAGAGACTTGCGGAATGGTATAGTGTGTGTTTAAAGCAGCCAAAGGCTGGGAAAACTGAGTAATGTCCTGTTCTTCTTGTCCTCCATAATTTTAACTTTCAAGGGGCAGCAAGCTGCTTAAACTTCATGAAAGTGACTGGGATCTAAACAGGTTGACCATGTGTAGGATTGCAATCTTTGGTTCCAAATATCTATATTCATTGTAAAATGTGATTTTTTTTCTTACTTTTAATGGCATGCTCAGGGTTAAATAACCATGTTTTTTCAATTCAACCTGTAGTATTACAACAATTGTGCTACCAATTTTTAAATTCCTTTCCTATAAAAAACAGCAGAGCTTGCTCCGTTGAACTTCCTGGTTTTTCTGTTCAATCTTTTGTTGCCCTGTTACCCCCTCTCTCCGTTTTCAGCATCTTTTGCAAAACGAAGCACATCAGCATTGTCTAAGTTGAGTAATGAAGCAGAGTTACCCTAAATCTTTAAAACTGGGAAACTGTTGAAAAAGCTTCCCAAGTTTCAAATGCCACTACTTTTGAGCAATGTGCATAGGTTAACCTATGCCTAACTCCTAGACAGCTGTCAGCAGCTTCCTAATGCCTCCTTGGGCAAACCACTGCACTCCCAAGCAGCTGTTTGTGAATCCTCAACTGGTAACCTTTTTAAGTTGTGGGAAGTGACTTCCCCAATCAAGGTGTAATTTCCCTCTTTGTTCCCTTTTCTGCAGCTGAATGGATGGTTTGAGTAAAAGATCCACTTCCACCTGCTGACTTTTTCGAAAAGAGCGAATAACTCTCTCAGTTTATGGACATTCCTGTGGCTTTCTTCCCTATGGTGACTAAGTGCTTGTTTGGTGTGCATGGACCTGCACATGTGAGAAAGCCAGACTGGAATGGTGGGGCACTGTGTCAGCACGTGGGAGTCAAGACACTGATGTAAAAGAATGCATTGGTTAGCTTACCCTAACTGGATGTGGGGTGGGTAGAAATGCTTAACAGACCTAATGAGGCCTAGTTCATTTGCACATTCTTAGTTTTGCATGCAGAAAGCACTGCTCCTTGGCACTCTTCACTTGATGGCGAGATTTTGGTACATGAGTACTTTCAGCGTGAGCAGCTACAGAATGCTTACAATTATCTGTTCCTAAAACAAGGGAAATTCACACAGGGTGTTGTTATCCCAGCTAAAGTGCTTCCTTACTAATTCAGCATTGTGCACTTGATCGAAATGGAGCTTCTAATTGCTAGTGTGAATTAGTGAGATGCTACTGTTAATCTTATTATGGTGCATTAGTTCCTTAGCTTGAACAGTCTTTAAGCTCTATTTTATTTAATAGAGCTGACATCCCATAAGGAAAAAAACAACCCTCTGTGTTCTGAATCTGGCACTGTTCCCTTGTAATTGCTCTGTATGTGAACCTATACTCAAAACCTTTCTGTAACGAAGGCCTGCCAGACTGCCAAGGTGGTAGATGGCAAATAACTAGAAGTGCAGCTCTAAGCAGTGTTATGCCCTTCTATGTCCATTGATGTTAATTGACCTAGAAGGGTGTAAGCCTAGTTAGGAGGTCTCTGTATGTTCCATGGAGACTCAGACTCCACACAAGTCTTCACTGCCCTTTCCTAGTGGGATAGCCATTGCTCTCTGCGGGAATGACTTGTCGACCAGCCCTGTAGCTGGCACTTTGTCTTGACTTGGAAGTTTCCCAGTGGGGAAAACAAGGGGTCAAAGTACAAAGAGCAATTTTAAAAAGCTTTCTGATAGCCAATGCAAATCAAGAGTAAGAAGTGTTAAGGGCAGCATTCTGGGAACTGGTTTATCTGGCAACCACATGTGGACTGACTCTGTATAGAGAAGCAGTCTTGTACTGCTCCATGGGCACAGTACATACATCTGTGCCACATCACCAGTTTTTCTGGATTTGCAGAGGCAGTCAACTCCCCCCCCCCATTAGAGTAGTCACACTAAGTGTACATAGCTGGTCATGTGAATACACTCTGGGGGTGCTTTTGAGGTCACAGATGATCAGAGTAGCACATACCTTACTAAAATTCCCGGTTAAGGAATGTAGGTAAACTCTTGCATGTTCCCAGATGCAGGTGTACAGTTGTTTCACTGCAATGGTGGTGGGGTGGGGGAGGGCAGGGAGTTGTGTGAATTAGATTGTTCATAAATTGAGAACAGCTCTAATTTTGTTTAATGCCCACCCAAACTTTGCGTACTGTGCAGGTCTTCTGGTGGGGTAGCCATTTTCAGCATGGTCTACATGTAGGCAGAAGGACATGGTAGCAGAGCAGTTATACCACCAGGTGGGAGTCTTATTTTTAATGCTTCCTGTGTTAAAAACACCCTGCAAATGAAGCATGAGCACATTAGGGAGGGTGGTTCTGGCCTAGCTTTTTGTGTGCTGTCCTAGTTTTCCAATTAAGTTCATGGAACTTTGAAAAATCCTCTCCTGCAGCAGTGTTACAGTTCATTTTACCATCTCCGCTCTTGACTACCTCATTACAGCCTTGTTCTGCTGCATGTTTAGACAAAGGCTTACAGTGCGATCCTATACAGAGTTAACTTCCATCTGAGCCCATTTAAATCAATTGATTGTATTGTTAGAAGTTGTGGCTGAAACGAAAGTTGTGTGGCATCTTAAATAATAACGCATTTAGTGTAGTATAAATTTGTGTGGGCTTGAGTACAGTTCTCCGTAAGCAAGATTTGTTTCTAGTCTCTCTAACACATTTTTCACAATTTCCCCACCCTCACACACACATTTCCTCTCTCTCTGATACAGGCACTGAATTCTCAGTCCACAAGACTTCTTATACAAAATGGTCTTGAGCCCATGAAAGCTTCTACTTAGTAAATGTGTTAGTCTAGAGATAAGACAAAAGTCCTGTAGGTCTTTAAAAACTAATACAGTAACAAGTGTTGATATTTAGCGTTTTTGTGGTTAGCCCCTCTCTACAATTTTAACACATTTGTAGTGGCTGAAAAGGATGGCAGCCATTGATCTCCATGATTGCAGAAAACAATACTGGAAAATAAGTGAAGCCTATTTCCTAAAGGTTTGGTAGCTAAAAAAAACCCCTCAAAGTATGCTGCTCTAGAAGTTTTTTGCTTATTCGTGGAAAGGTCAGTTGTGATATCCTGTATTCAAATGGTAGCTGTGGGTTGGGTCCTGTGCAGAGTGGCACTAGAGGAAGGCAATTTCCTTGTCCCCCACAACAAAAACCATTTACCTTTAGACCAGTGGATCCAAAGGAGCAGGGTGGGGAGCAAACTGGGAGTCTGCCGTAGGCAAAAACCTCCCTCCCCCACTCCTCAAGACAGAAAAGCTGTTCTGTCAGAGGAGGTGGGCCACACCCTGGAACGACATTTTTCTGCAATGTAGTAAATTCTTTGAATCCTACATGGCCTTCTAACCAGTAAAGATTATGTCCTCAGAGGCATGTTACTGATGGACCACAGCACTAACATGGGCAGACAGTTGGTGCTGTCGTCAAAACACTCCTGTTACCTGCTGCAGTGGGGCTGGAGATAATTTTGAACAGCTGATGAGTTGCCCCTGCACTGATAGCTCTTACATAAAATGACAGTGGCAAAATAACTAGACCAGATAACCGTGGGAGCTCCTCTCCTGTGAATGCAAGAAGCTTGAATGGAAGAAGATTCCTTCTGGTTTTTGGGATAGATCTCTGAAACGTAGCCGTGTAGTCCTGTAACTTGTATCTGGTAAGGCTGCTGTGGTGTTGGCATCTGATCACTCCTTTTTTTCCTTTATGCAACAATCACTTGTTCCTTGTCTAACCTGTTGTTGTTTTTTAAAAAAAACCAAGCTTCACTTTGCTGCCTGGATGTGTGTTTTAAGCATCTGAGCCCAGGGTTGACAGTGTAATTTCCCCCCCCAACCCACAGGTTGCCATAGCTGATGGTTTGAATTCGAGCCTCTGTGAAGACAGCACCAGTAAGTTCTTACTCTCTTCCATCTTCATTCCCCAGAACAGATGCACATACATCACTAAGTATTTGTGTCTGGTTAAAGTCAATAGTTACTCATCTTGAAAGTGGAGCTTTTGGGAGGCAGTGTTGGTCTTCTATTTGATCAGAAGTATACTGTCCCATATGACTTTGTAGACATAAAAAACCCCACTTCATGCTGCAAAATGTGTATGAATCATTCAAGCTGTCTGGGGAAAGTGGATAGTAGACTTTGTTTCATTCTACAATGAGTTTCCGGTGGCCACCTTGAATAATGCCAGTGAGTAAAGAAGCGCAGAGTGATTGTGAGAGTATCACAATAACTGAAGAAGAGTGTGTATAGTTGAGAGATTCAAGAAATACATATGAATGCAAACATTTGTGAGACAGAGGGAGCAATCGTAAGTGTGTCTACTTAGAAGTGAGTCCCATGTTGTTCAGTGGGGCTTTACTCCCAGGAAAGTGTCCATTTGAATGGCTGGATCAAAAATATGCATAAACCTTTATGTTCAGATAACATGCACCAGAATGCTCTAAGCCGAGCAAGTTTGTACTGTGGCTGATATTTCAGGTTCCTCGCAAAGTAGAATGTTAGTGGAACTTATAGGTATTGAGTTAGATGCTAATCTAGCATTTTACTAAGGGTTTGGTGCTTTTCAGTCAAATATACCAAATTTAATTTTTTCCATGGGTATCCTTGGTTGGTGAGTAAGGGGATGATTTGGAATAGGGGTTTGAGTAAGGCTGCAGTGACTAGTCAGTGGCAATGGTGTTCCCATTAACTGGACAGCCAGTGTGTAGGTTAAAAATGTGCTTCTAATACAAATACTTGTAAAACTCAGGAATGCAAGTCAGGGTACAGAAACAGCATTTCTCCTTCTCCTTCACATGGAAGAATGCTGCTTCTACTTATTCATTTACATACATTATTTATAGTCTGCCTTTATCACGGGGATTCAAGGTAGATTACATATAGTGAGTCAGTACAATCAACAAAATGGGACATTTGATAACCAATGCAGGATTTTAGAAGTCTGAAATCAGCCAGAAAGAACTGAGGCATAGCATAAGTACTAATACGACAGACTAAGCAGTACAAAAATTACATAAAAGTGGAGGAAAAATGAAGTACCTTCAAAAGAAGAAATCATGAATAAAATACTTGAAACGGTAGAGATGGACAAACTAACATTAATTTTGAAAGAATAAAAAGAAAACTTTGAGAATACATGGTTAAGATTTTACAAATGGATGGGGAAAAACCAACAAATAAATTATATGGACATATAACCGAAAGACAAGGAAATAGGAACTATCTTTTTTTTTTAGTTATAAGCAATGATATATTTTAAAATACAAGGTGGGAAAAATTAAAAATATAATTTGTTAACGTATGCAGTAACTTAACAGACAAATTAACGTTGTAAATGGAAGCCCCCTTTGTTGTATGTATGTTTGTTTATTTTGCGTTTGTCTTGTATGGAAAATAAAAAATTAGTGAGAAAAAAATTACATAAAAGGATCTTATATTAAGCTATAGAGATCACAGTCCCTATCATTTAACCACGTAAGTTTGAGAACCATTTTGTACAGGGCAGCCTGCATAGAAAAGCCCTCTTAAACAGTTTGGTTTTGCATAGTTTATGGAAAGCTAGGAATGTGGGAGCTTTCTTGACCTCCTCAGGCAGGGCCATTCTGTAAGGTGGGAGCCACGTTGTGCCTCTACACATTTATAGATAATTTTTATTATTAAAAAGTTGCTTCCGTCTTCCATGCAAACATGCAAATTTAGATGATCGAATCATATGCAATTAGTCTGACATGGAGTAAATTTAAGAAGATGAATAATGTTCCTTTAAAATCTTTTTGATTCATAGATATTTAAATGATGTACTTTGTAATCTCTTGAGAGCAAACATTTGGCCTTAGGACTTGGAGTGAATTTCCATTTGGAGTTTGTTCTTCATTAGTATAGCAGATCTGCTTCCACATGGAGCAACGAAGCTTTCATTCTCTATGTAGTTTTGATTGACAGTGTGATTAACACATTTTTCACAATTTCCCTCACACACACATTTCCTCTCTATCTGATACAGCCACTGAATTCTAACTCCACAAGACTTCTTATACAAAATGGTCTTGAGCCCATGAAAGCTTCTACTTAGTAAATGTGTTAGTCTAGAGATAAGACAAAAGTCCTGTAGGTCTTTAAAAACTAATACAGTAACAAGTGTTGATATTTAGCGTTTTTGTGGTCAGCCCCTCTCTACAATTTTAACACATTTGGAGTGGCTGAAAAGGATGGCAGCCGTTGATCTCCATGATTGCAGAAAACAATACTGGAAAATAAATGAAACCTATTTCCTAAAGGTTTGGTAGCTAAAAAAAACCCTCAAAGCATGCTGCTCTAGAAGGTTTTTTGGTTATTCATGGAAAGGTCAGTTGTGATATCCTGTATTCAAATGGTAGCTGTGGGTTGGGTCTTGTGCAGAGTTGGCACTAGAGGAAGGCAATTTCCTTGTCCCCCACAACAAAAACCATTTACCTTTAGACCAGTGGATCCAAAGGAGCAGGGTGGGGAGCAAACTGGGAGTCTGCCGTAGGCAAAAACCTCCCTCCCCCACTCCTCAAGACAGAAAAGCTGTTCTGTCAGAGGAGGTGGGCCACACCCCTGGAACGACATTTTTCTGCAATGTAGTAAATTCTTTGAATCCTACATGGCCTTCTAACCAGTAAAGATTATGTCCTCAGAGGCATGTTACTGATGGACCACAGCACTAACATGGGCAGACAGTTGGTGCTGTCGTCAAAACACTCCTGTTACCTGCTGCAGTGGGGCTGGAGATAATTTTGAACAGCTGATGAGTTGCCCCTGCACTGATAGCTCTTACATAAAATGACAGTGGCAAAATAACTAGACCAGATAACCGTGGGAGCTCCTCTCCTGTGAATGCAAGAAGCTTGAATGGAAGAAGATTCCTTCTGGTTTTTGGGATAGATCTCTGAAACGTAGCCGTGTAGTCCTGTAACTTGTATCTGGTAAGGCTGCTGTGGTGTTGGCATCTGATCACTCCTTTTTTTCCTTTATGCAACAATCACTTGTTCCTTGTCTAACCTGTTGTTGTTTTTTAAAAAAAACCAAGCTTCACTTTGCTGCCTGGATGTGTGTTTTAAGCATCTGAGCCCAGGGTTGACAGTGTAATTTCCCCCCCCAACCCACAGGTTGCCATAGCTGATGGTTTGAATTCGAGCCTCTGTGAAGACAGCACCAGTAAGTTCTTACTCTCTTCCATCTTCATTCCCCAGAACAGATGCACATACATCACTAAGTATTTGTGTCTGGTTAAAGTCAATAGTTACTCATCTTGAAAGTGGAGCTTTTGGGAGGCAGTGTTGGTCTTCTATTTGATCAGAAGTATACTGTCCCATATGACTTTGTAGACATAAAAAACCCCACTTCATGCTGCAAAATGTGTATGAATCATTCAAGCTGTCTGGGGAAAGTGGATAGTAGACTTTGTTTCATTCTACAATGAGTTTCCGGTGGCCACCTTGAATAATGCCAGTGAGTAAAGAAGCGCAGAGTGATTGTGAGAGTATCACAATAACTGAAGAAGAGTGTGTATAGTTGAGAGATTCAAGAAATACATATGAATGCAAACATTTGTGAGACAGAGGGAGCAATCGTAAGTGTGTCTACTTAGAAGTGAGTCCCATGTTGTTCAGTGGGGCTTTACTCCCAGGAAAGTGTCCATTTGAATGGCTGGATCAAAAATATGCATAAACCTTTATGTTCAGATAACATGCACCAGAATGCTCTAAGCCGAGCAAGTTTGTACTGTGGCTGATATTTGTGTGTCTACTTAGAAGTGAGTCCCGTGTTGTTCAGTGGGGCTTTACTTCCAGGAAAGTGTCCATTTGAATGGCTGGATCAAAAATATGCATAAACCTTTATGTTCAGATAACATGCACCAGAATGCTCTAAGCCGAGCAAGTTTGTACTGTGGCTGATATTTCAGGTTCCTCGCAAAGTAGAATGTTAGTGGAACTTATAGGTATTGAGTTAGATGCTAATCTAGCATTTTACTAAGGGTTTGGTGCTTTTCAGTCAAATATACCAAATTTAATTTTTTCCATGGGTATCCTTGGTTGGTGAGTAAGGGGATGATTTGGAATAGGGGTTTGAGTAAGGCTGCAGTGACTAGTCAGTGGCAATGGTGTTCCCATTAACTGGACAGCCAGTGTGTAGGTTAAAAATGTGCTTCTAATACAAATACTTGTAAAACTCAGGAATGCAAGTCAGGGTACAGAAACAGCATTTCTCCTTCTCCTTCACATGGAAGAATGCTGCTTCTACTTATTCATTTACATACATTATTTATAGTCTGCCTTTATCACGGGGATTCAAGGTAGATTACATATAGTGAGTCAGTACAATCAACAAAATGGGACATTTGATAACCAATGCAGGATTTTAGAAGTCTGAAATCAGCCAGAAAGAACTGAGGCATAGCATAAGTACTAATACGACAGACTAAGCAGTACAAAAATTACATAAAAGTGGAGGAAAAATGAAGTACCTTCAAAAGAAGAAATCATGAATAAAATACTTGAAACGGTAGAGATGGACAAACTAACATTAATTTTGAAAGGACAAAATGAAGAAAACTTTGAGAATACATGGTTAAGATTTTACAAATAGATGGGGAAAAACCAACAAATAAATTATATGGACATATAACCGAAAGACAAGGAAATAGGAACTATCTTTTTTTTTTAGTTATAAGCAATGATATATTTTAAAATACAAGGTGGGAAAAATTAAAAATATAATTTGTTAACGTATGCAGTAACTTAACAGACAAATTAACGTTGTAAATGGAAGCCCCCTTTGTTGTATGTATGTTTGTTTATTTTGTGTTTGTCTTGTATGGAAAATAAAAAATTAGTGAGAAAAAAATTACATAAAAGGATCTTATATTAAGCTATAGAGACCACAGTCCCAATCATTTAACCAAGTAAGTTTGAGAACCATTTTGTACAGGGCAGCCCTATTACCTGCACAGAAAAGCCCTCTTAAACAGTTTGGTTTTGCATAGTTTATGGAAAGCTAGGAATGTGGGAGCTTTCTTGACCTCCTCAGGCAGGGCCATTCTGTAAGGTGGGAGCCACGTTGTGCCTCTACACATTTATAGATAATTTTTATTATTAAAAAGTTGCTTCCGTCTTCCATGCAAACATGCAAATTTAGATGATCGAATCATATGCAATTAGTCTGACATGGAGTAAATTTAAGAAGATGAATAATGTTCCTTTAAAATCTTTTTGATTCATAGATATTTAAATGATGTACTTTGTAATCTCTTGAGAGCAAACATTTGGCCTTAGGACTTGGAGTGAATTTCCATTTGGAGTTTGTTCTTCATTAGTATAGCAGATCTGCTTCCACATGGAGCAACGAAGCTTTCATTCTCTATGTAGTTTTGATTGACAGTGTGAATGTAGAGGCATTTCCAATGCATCCACATAGACATTTTCCTTGAGCTTTATGGCTGCCCCTTCCCACCTGCTAAGTACCTGCTAAGTCACTGCGGTGGCTCAAGTGGTTAAGACGCTGAACTGCAGGCTGTGGAAGGTCAGTAGTTCAGCAGTTCGAGACTTGGGTGCCGCATGATGGAGTGATCCCCCGTCTCTAGTTCCAGCTCCTGCCAACCTAGCAGTTCAAATGCAAGAAATTGCAAGTAGATAAATAGGTACCACTTTGGTGGGAAGGTAACAGCGTTCTGTGCGCCTGGGTGTTTAGTCATGCCGGCCACATGACCACGGAAACGTCTTTGGACAGCGCTGGCTCTTCGGCTTTGAAACGGAGATGAGCACCGCAACCCTAGAGTCGGATTCGACTGGCTTTCGAGCAAGGGAACCTTTACCTTTACCTTTAAGTCACTATAGCATTTAAACAGTATTACTGTTTATTGCAACAGTGTACTAGTTCCTGGCTTTCATACAGCGTAGGCAGGAGACCCTTTATTGGGGCATTGTGTGGTGGTTTTAAAATGATAAATGTTCTGAATAAACAGGTCAACACAGAAATGATCTGATGCAGGTTCACTCAAAATAGAGTTTGGCTGGCAATCCATCTTTTTGTCATGTGTTAACTCCTTTTTGATATATTACATATTTTTTTCTGTATACGTATACAGTTATTAGTACATTGTTTATAATTGGATGCTTGTATCTTTTTGAAATGGTGGGTTCCGGTAGCATTCTCAATTTGCAGTTTAAAATGCACCCTTATTCTTGATACACCATCTTGTTCTTTGTGTTTGTGTTTTTTCCCATCACCTGCTTTATATACTGAACTCTTATGGCAGGAGGCGAAGCATCCTTCCAGTTTGCAGGGATTTTGCATTATTGCTGCTCTGACTGAAAGTGATTGGAACATTGCATACAATTCCTGGGACTGATCTAGAGCTTCTTGCCCACTTTTTAAAACTTTCACTCTCTGTATTTATGAAGGTGTCCACCACTGGAAATGTGGTGCTTATTTCCCCTGTCCTTCTCTAGCATATGCTTGTATGTGTTTTAGATGGTTGTGTCCACCACTACCAGGCATCTTGAAAATGGAAATTTACAGGTTGATGCTCTCATAAAGTCCCTTGTCTAGCATTTTCCCTAGCTAGGTCATCCTTTAACCTTTTGGCGTAGCTAATTCAGCACTCGTGTGTTTTATGGAAACAGCTTCCTTTGTGTCAAGTCTGTTGTCTAATTGTTTGAACTCTATCATAATCCTGGTTATTGGAAGGATGATGGGTTTTATTCTGAACAATGTGCTGCATCTGAAGTCACTGGCATCACTTTATTTGTAATGATTGCATTTTGTTGCCCACTTGGTTTGTAGAGATGTAATTGCTATGTTCTTAAAAAGAGATACTGATAAGACTCCTTCCTTTCTAGTTGGATTAAACTCTCAGAAAGAAATCGAAGCCCTGAGGTCGGTCTATGCCAAACAAAGTCCTGATTCTAAAGCATCCAGCCAGACTGATGCTTCTCTGCCCAAATCAGTGAAGGTACAGTGAACTTTCTTTACTAAGGGGGTTTCCACGGGGAGACAGGTTTGTGATCTCCCTGCTCCTGATGTTACAGTGGAGTAACTGTGAGGCTTTTTCCACTGCAGGTTTCCCCACATTTTTTCTGCCTCAGAAGTGCCTCCCCCCAGGTGCCACAAAGGTTTTTTAAAGCCACAATTGAATATCCTTATAGCATTATACCATTATAGCAGTCTGTCCATCAAATTCTCTGAATTCCCAGCTTTCACTTTTTAAAAAGTCTACCTAGCCCCTTTTATTGCAGAGATGGATCACAGTGGTTCAGGGGGAAGGGCAGAGGAAAAGCCAGAGGTGGAGAGTCCATTTTCCCCAGCTTCCCTGAAGTCTTGGCTATTGCTTACCCCGTCACAGCAGCTGCATGCTGTCAAATGGTAGCTGCCACCATGCTTGTTATTTTAAGAATCTGACAGCCCTTCTTCTGTCCCGCTCCATCATGTGCACATATTCTTCATCTGGCTAGAAACACAACCTGGCTCAGCTAAGAGCTGGCATACGTAGAACCCAGTCCTTCTCCACTTAAGCAGTACAGGGACTACACAGGTTCTCTTAAATGTTAAGATTAATTTTGTTTGGAAGACAGAGGGAAGAGGGAAGTTGGTTATAACAGCTTGCATGGGAAACAGGGAGCAGGGAATGATTTCAGAATGTAACACAGCTAAGTAAGCCTAACGCAGCCCAACTAAACTGGTTCCCTAGCTTAATGGCTTACAGTTCTTCATAGATCCTGAACTCTGTTGGCCTGATATGAGCCTATCCTGTGAGGGACTCTCTTTCCTTTCCTTGCTGATGGAAGAGGCCCTTCAGGGTTTTCTCTGTTTTGTTATAATCATATCTCCTGACATGGGTAGGTGCTCTGTTCCTGTTCTGGCTGGTGCTAAGCCAATTGATTGATTCCATTTGGAAGTGAACCCCTCTCTCTCACTCGCTCTCTGGCTCTATGATTAACTGTCTTGTTCCTGCTCTGATTAGAGATGATGGCTACAGACCTAGCCTGGTCTTGAAAGCTGAAACAGGAACGGACCAGGTTGGGGCTCATGAGAATCAGGTTCTCTGAATTCCCAGATTTCATTTTAACAAATCTTCCGTTGTGGAGACATAAAGGAAAAGGCATTTTCATATAAGCAAAGGGACTAATTTTTTAAATTAAAGCTGGGTATCCAGAGAACCTGATAGACAGATTGCTATACCATTACAATGCTGTATTTGTATTCATTTGCTGATTTTTTTAAAAAGCCCACCAATGGCAGGGAACAAAATGGCCACCATGGGGGACTGGGCCAGGGAAAATGGTACCTTCACAGGCAGGACTGGGAAACTCTGTGGTTTCCCATCTGTATTGGTGCACTCTGGCTTCACTATGATCTTTTCTTCAAAACATCACAGCAAAGCAGTTTTGAGAACGATTGCGGGAAAGACAGGGAGAACCCAGGAGGCGCACAGACGCACCACGGTGTTGTGGGAAAGACTGCAGGAAAAAAACCTTCATCTCAATAGCATCCAAACCATAGGGGGAGAGAACCTTAGAAGCAACATGTAGTACAAAATAAATGTGTACTTTAAAGTATTAGCTGCTGAGTTGCATTTGCCACCCCCTTCCCACTCCCTAAATCTCACTTTCAAAATTACATGGCAGCCAAACTTTTTCCATGCTTAATTTTGCTAATTTAAAGCGTGCCGGAACTTCAGAGGAGGAAAACAAAACCTACTGTGTGACTTCGTTTATTAAAGCTTTAAAAGTAGTTTCTAAGCCAAAGATCCTCTGGTAGAAACTGTTCTTTAAAAAATGTTGGTACAGTGACAGCATAAAATCTTTTGGTGATATGAGGCTTTTGAGTGTGTGTGGCGGGGAAGGATTATGGCTCCTACCCCTGTTGACATTTTGCTCTTAGCTCTGCAGTGAGCTTGCTTTGAAAACTTGGAAGTAGCCTGTTAAATTACCTCTGCCTATTCTTTAACTGAAGAGAACAACCAGCAAATCTGTTTTATGGTTATTCAGAGTTCTGTGACAAATGCTGCAAAATATACAGGATTATAACTTTTGACGAAAATTTACGTGTTATGCTGAGTACAGTCCAATTATCAGTTGGGGTTTTCAATAGTGTGAATATGGATATGGTTTTCAGTCTTGAGTTTTTCTCTGAACACTCTTCATACCAGCCTAGAGATGTGTTTATAAAATAGCCAATTGTCTTTTCCAGCTTCTGTTTCCTGCTCCTGGTTCCTAATCTCTACTCCTGTCTTCTGCCTCCCTCCTTAATGTGAGCTCAACTCTCAGCTTTCTTGCCTGTTTTCTCTTTTTATGAAATAGCCTCCAGCCTTTTGCAGTAGTTCGTGTTCATAGCATGCATTTCTATGCCTATGTTTGTTTGTTCAGGGCACTTTAAACCCAAAGGACTCAAGACTACAGTTTTCTTAAGATTCACATAGAACTAAACCTAAAGCCCCGGTTAAGATCTGTGACTTGGATCCTACTGTCTTCCCTGCTCAATGTTGCCTGATTTCTCCTCCTTGTTGTAGCTGTTGTCTGCTTGGGCCGCATACCCTTTTTGGTGGTCAGATATGGCCACTCGTCCCCTTTTCACCAGTAGAAAAGATGGCAGGATGTACTTCAACAGTTGCAACTCTGAACTGATTCAAACAGTTGGAGTCCACATACTGTACCCATACTTTGCCATCTGAACTACTTCTTGTTTGCAAGATTCCTCTAGGTTTTATGGGGAAATGTGTTTGCTGCAAATGTACTAATAGTGTAATGATTTGCAAATGTTAGTTTCCTGAACAGGACTGGGAAAATCAGTTTCTAACCATCAATCAGGTTGAGTGCTCAGGTTCCTGTAGCTGAAAGAATATTTTCCCTATGCTGCTCACATATTGAGACTTCCCTGTGATTACTGGGGAAAGAAAAAATAGCTGTTTGCCCTCCTCCTCCCTCCCTCCCCCTTCAAAAGCAATTTCTCTGTGTTACGAATAAAAAGCCTTGCATTGCTTAAACTGGTAGGCCATTTTTGATTCATGAGGGCGATTGGTGCATCACAATATATTGGCTGTGGAGTGGTCATCTGTGGATGTTTTTGGCCTGGGCCACACATCCCATTTGCCAGGCATAATGGTTCAAGGTTTCGTTCAGGGGATTAGATTGCTGGTTGATTTGGAACACTGGCACTAGCTTCTGTAACTGTTTCCGCATAAGTTGCTTTTAGGAAAGCAGACCTGTAACTGTTAACTCCTGGTCTGAAGGTAGAACATGCCATGAACAGTGCTTTAAGTATGCCCACTTGCTTGAGGGGCCAAATTCATTTAAGACAGTTTGGTGTAGTGGTTAAGTTCACGGACTCTAATCTGGGAGAACTGGGTTTGATTCCCCACTCCTCCACTTGCACCTGGCTGGATGACCTTGGGCAAGCCATACTTCCCTCAAGAGCTGTTCTCTCAAGGACAGTTCTGGAAAGAGCTCTCTCAGCCCCACCTACCTCACAGGGTGTCTGTTGTGGAGAGGGGAAGGGAAAGGAGTTTGTAAGCCACTCTGAGACTCTGAGTGAAGGGCGGGGATACAAATCCAATCTCCTCTTCTTCTTCTAAGCAGTCTTTCCCCTTCCTTTTCCTTGTTCACTGTGTGTGAGAGCGCATGCGCGTTGTGTGTGCACACCCACTCTCTTGTGTTTTATGTCCTGGTAAAGACACACGCAACAATCTAAAAGATCAGCTTAACCTGTAAGTGCCCTCACTGTGTTAGTCCAAACATGCCTTTCCTGTTTGGTGTCAAGCGTGGGGTGGGGGTGTGGTGAGAACAAATAGCTCTGCGTGTTTACATGGAAGTCTGATTACTGTGGGCTAATTGGCTGTCTGCCCATGACCAAGAGCCACCCCCACCTCCCACTTTTGAATCCTTGGAGCAGTTATACATTTAAATATGAAATTTCTTCTTTTAATCAGGTGATGAATGCTCCAATACCTGTGCACCCATGTGACGTTTTTAAAAAACTGCTGACCAGCATTTGATTTGCTAAGCATACCCTTTTTTGTTTATAAAAAAGTCAGTCTGGCTCAACAGCAGAAGAATCTGGTGTGAGCTCTGTTTGTTGCATCCGTCTTTACCTGTAGGCAGCTGCGTGCTTTTTGCTGATCTTACCCTTTTTAAGTTTCCTCTTGCATTCTCTTTCCCCTTCTGCTGGCCACCTTCAGAGAGACTGAACATAAGTGCAGATGGTTGCAATCAATCGGGGGCATGATTTAGATATTTAATCTGTTACTCACTGCTTCCATGTTTCTTTCTTGTTGGTTTAATTTGGGCCACTTCCATAGAAATAGGAGGAGAAGGCTGTACAGCTGTTGGGTATGTCGAGTTTTGTTGCTGGTCTTCATGAATCTGGCTGCCCTAGCCTGGCTGCAATATGGGGTCTGGCATGAGAAGGTGCTGCTGCTGCTTCAAAGCTGAACGATCTCTATTTAGCTTTAAGGGAAATTTGGCTGGAATTAACTTTCAGGGTTACCTAAAGAAAAGTACTAAGGAAGGAAAGAGCGACAGTCTCATACGTTCACTTTAATGCTCTTTTTCTTTCTCCAGAAGTTTCAGCTGCCAGCAAAAGAAACATGCTTTGCGTGCAAGAAGACAGTTTACCCCATGGAGCGTCTCTTTGCCAACCAGCAAATTTACCATATCAGCTGCTTCCGTTGTTCTTACTGTAACAGCAGACTCACGTAAGTCTCAGCCGTTTAGGAACCAATGGAGTTACTCGGAAGCAAATGTGGGATTGTCAGAAAACTGCTGTTGTTTAGAGGAGGGGAGAGTCTTTTCTGGGCTGAGAAACATGGAACTGGAATTCTCTCATTTTTGCCTGTAGATCAGTAGCTGCTGAGAAATTGACTGCTTTAGGTACAGTTGCACATGTCGCAAATGAAACTGCTTTTAGAACTTTAAACTACAGTCAGGAATCTAGGAATGGTAGCTAAAGGAACACTCTGTACACTGTACGTTAACTGATGGAATTCACTGCCACAAGATGAGGCCATGATTGCAGTGGACCTCTGAACACCAGATGTTAGAGGCCAATAGGGAGCTTGCTACCTTCTCAGAACCACCTGCCTGGTCACTGTAGAAAACAGAATGCTGGATTAGATTAATCATTCATTTGATGCAGCATGGCAGTTCTAAAGGAGTGGGTGTATCTGTCCCTGCTAACAGAAGCCAAGAGGCTATCCAGACTGGTCTCTTCATTAAGAAACATCCATGTTTCTAACAGATGGTTGCTGTTCATCAGCCTGGCAGGCAAACTTCTCCTAGCAGTCAGGGCAAGAATTTGACTCACTGCCGCCCATGAGAAGAGTGGGAGAAGGATTCTTTATCATAATCTTGAATAATCTAGAAGATAAAGCAGAGTGTGTCATGAAAATTGCAGTCTGGACAACAGCCTTACCCTGCTGCAAGGTGGCTGTGCTACTGTTGTGCAAGTGTTCATGTCATAAGGGTATTAGGACCACCCAATAGTGGCTATTTCCTACTAGACAGGAGGGACTGATCTGTGTACTTGGCAATGGAATCCAAGGACTGGTTTCCACTCCTTGTGCTGGTTGTGTGGCTGGGGGATAAATTGGACTGGAGACACTCATCTAGTTCGAGAGTTGAAAGTGGTTCAGGAGAGGCTTTGCATCCCATGGGAAGTGAATGCATTGTTCACCACTGGCTTATATTTGAACTAAAAAAAACCCCCATACACGCAAATGTTGTTTAGCAGAGGGTGGATTCAATATCTACACTAAGAACAGAAATCCCTCTTTCAGCCTGACTTTGGTCACAGAGAAACAAGCCTATTGTCTGTCTTCCACCTGTCCCTGTCCATTAACAGAAAGTGAGTGCAGGTGCTCTGCCCTGTCCTCCCTATTGTGAAGCAGCAGTCAACTTACATGATGCTACAATACTATTGGCGTTATTTATTTATATGCCACACCCCGCCCACCCGCTGTGGGGACTCAAAGCACCTGACACTACACACAAAATACAATGTAAACAAAAGGAGAAAACAGGCTTCTGAGTGCAGAGCCAATTTTTCTCTCTTTAGTGGCAGATTTTTTCCCTAGTTCCAGGCTGTGGTCCTTTGGACTAAGAGCAGAAGGCAAAGATGCACTTTGGCTCTTCAGCTTGGCTGACTCATTTAGGCCCACTCAGGCTGTCAATGGGGCAGGGCAGAGACTTGGCAATATGGTTTTACAGCAGCTGGATAGTGCTCCAGTTCCTTCCTGTTTTCATTCCTCTGGGCCAGCTCAGTCTTAGATGGAGTACCTGAAAGATAGGGATGGGGCAGGTGTACTTTGATAGGCAGGTATCTCGCTGCAATACTACATGCAAGTGAGAATATAGTCCTTGCTGTATATTCTTTTAGGTATGCTAACTGAGGTTTTTTTTTTCTCTGTGTGTTTTCCTTTGCACAGTCTTGGAACATATGCATCTCTTCATGGGAGCATTTACTGCAAGCCTCATTTTAACCAGCTCTTTAAATCCAAAGGCAACTATGATGAAGGGTTTGGGCTTAAGCCACACAAGGAATTGTGGGCAAGCAAAACAGAGAATGAAGAATCCCCAGAGAAGCCTGCTTCTGTTGGGAGCACAACAGAAGGTCCCCAAAGTCCTGGGGTAGAGGATGCTCCAATTGCAAAAGTTGGAATTCTGGCCGCCTGCATGGAAGCAAAAGCTGCCGGCATACCAGAGAAGGAAGAGAGACCGGCTGAAACGAAGAAACTGAAGATTGCCTGGCCACCACCTGCTGAGCAAGGTAGTCAAGGCAGCGTCTTGGAAGATGGTATCAAAGTGTTGAAGCCCAAGTGGCCCCCAGAGGATGAGGTTTCTAAGCTAGATAATCAGGAAGATGTAGACCAAGACCTTAAAAAATTACGAAGGTCCTCTTCACTGAAAGAAAGAAGCCGGCCATTTACAGTGGCAGCTTCTTTTAGAACAATGTCTGTTAAGAGCCATAGAACTGAAAATGGATCTCATTCAAAAACTGAGAGGGGTGCAGTCAGGCGAAGGGAGGAATTGCCCAAGGAAATGGTGGTAGAAGACAAGGTGAGTGAGGAAAACAAGACAGCGAATCCTGAGAACCCCTCCAGTGTAGAGGAGATGGAGGAGGAGGCTAAAGAATTGGAGAAGGAGAAGGGGGAGGCAAGAGGAAGAGGAGAGAGCCTGGTTGCAAATGGCCAGCGGGGTGCAGAGATGGATGAGGAGGAGGAGGGAGAAAATGTGGAAAAGCCATCTGAGTCTCTGGATAGAGCCACATCAATTCTTACATCTCCTACACACACAGTCTTCAGTTCCGCAACCACAAAAGATTTATCCCTTAGTCCAAATCGTAAGTCCCAAGATGTTGGTTTTTTTGAAAGTGAAGACCTAGATGATTTGACAGTGGAAGAACAGATCAAGAGGAACAGATACTATGAGGATGATGAGGAGGAAGGAGAATAGATTGGCTTTACTAGAGAACTTACTGCAAGGTGCTGGGCCTTAAATTAATGTGTGTTTTTAATTGGGCGGGGGGGTTCTTTTTTCCTACAGTGGCTGCCCTCTGCAGAAATAACACAGTGCCACAAGTTGACATATAAGGGAGCCATAAACACTTGCTCAGATTTGTATTGCATAGGAAAGTTCATTGGAACCCTGCAAGAATGTAATTAATTTTGTGGAAATGAATCAGTATACATTAAAATCATTGGTGTGGGGATAGCTGCTGCCACTTCAGTTGAGCAAACTACATTTTTTTGAAAACGCCGTTCAGTATCCTAGTCACTTCTTTAATAATTTTATCTGCTTCCAGTAGCTTGAAATTTTTACAGGATCTTGCTATAATCTATGAAGCTGAACTGGAAGAAAATGGGCTTTTTTGGAGGGGAAGTACACTACTATTACCACTAATGATGAAATTTCAGTGCTTAGGGACCAGTTCTGAAGGGAGGGCGTGGAGTTTACTTTAAATGGTGACTGCACTTTAATGTATGTGTAAAGGCACAATTGATAACTGGGATACTTTTAATAGTGAAAACACTGTCTTCTAGATGTCCAGCAACTATGTATCTTAAATATGCAGTCGTCAGAGTAATTTTAGGGGTATATGCTTGGCAGCAATCAGGAGAGAAATTTCCTTTGCACTTTGCTCTTTTGCATACAACTTTTGTTGTTGCAAATCAGGACCTGGGTGAATTTGAGCCTCCTGGCTGGCCAGTGTGACCAGATTAGAGCCATGACTTTTTAATTTCCAAGAATAATACTAAATTGAAGAACTGTCTGTGTAGAGGGCAAGGCTTCTGTCCACAGTGTATTACTACTTACATTCTGTATTTTGTCGTCCTGAATCTGTCTTCCTGAATCATATTTTCTACTTGAAATTTCCACTCTTCTTCCTGACTCTTGGATGCGAATCCTAAATTAAGAAATTCTACATGCACCAAACTGCCAGATTTGAGAGTCAGAATGAAAAATGACACATGCAGAACAAACAAAATCTGCATGATTAAAAAAGACACCATAGTGAGATTTTTCTTGGGGCTGATTCCTAGCATTATGTGTTTTAGAGCTTTTCAATTTGACTGCATGTATTTTATAAATCATAGTATTTTTGAGCTGGGTGAAGGGTTTTTTTCTCCAGTAGTTTTTAATCTTTTGTAATGTGTTAAATTAGCTCTAACTATATTTTAGACTTGTAAAATATTCTGCTTTCTTACAATCTTGCTGAGTATGAAACATTTTTATTCAATAAAGGCTCTGTCATTTTTACTGTTGTTGCTTCTAATACAGGCTTTTTGTTGCAATGACACAAAGGTGAGAACGCACTGAAAATGTGGGTGTGCAGTTGCAACCAGTAGGCGGCACTCTTGTGCTTGGTGTGCCAGTGCCGGTTGGAAGCCTAGTGTCCCTCCAGGATACATCTCAGAGCCAAAGCACAAGTTCAATTTTTTTGTTCCAAGGACCCAACTTTGGTTCCCCACAGCCACACAGCAGTTCTGGGGAATGGCTTCTGGGGGGGAAAGAGAGCCCAAATGGGCTGGGAATGCTTCTAAAAAGCCTCTGCCCTCCCCCCCCCCCCCAAGCTGCTTTCCTGTGTGTGGAAACAGCACTGGGGTACGTGCCCAGAACATTCCCCATGGAGCAGCACAAACGGGGAAATAACTGGGGGCCCCCCAGTACTGTTTAAGTGCTGGAAAACAGCTGGGGAGGGGAGGCAGGTGCCCTTTTTCCTGAGATGGTATTTTGAGCTTTTGGGGGCTCTCCTTATTTTTAAAGGCCGTTTCCTGCATCTGCAAGGAACCCTTTAAAAAACAACAACAACTGACCATGTAGTTTGGCTCTCAGTTTATGGACACAAGATGAGCCACAGACTCACACAATCAGAATGATGCAACTCTGATTTACACTGCAATGCAAAGCAAACACCATCATGTCCACTAGGTGTGGATTGCTCAGGACAGGAGTTCAGTTTCTCTGAATCACAAGCTACTTACTAAAATGAGTTGGCCAGTAAAATGCACTAGTTAGGGTGTGCTGGTCTGTGTATCGGGATGCAACTGATTAAGTGAGACATAAGCATCCTAAACTGATATCCTTGGCTTCTGTTGTTTTTGCTGGATATTTTGCTTTTTGCCCTGTTAATTTTTAATTGCATCACCCTTCAAGCCTTCCTGATGGAACGTGTTGAAGTTCAAAATGGATATGTAATACTAGCCATATGGTGTCAATCAGACAGCTTCATGTGTGCCGCCCCCCACTGTGTTAACTGCAGTGGTTTCAAATGAATTAGGGAGAGACTTCTCTGCAATAGACTGAGCACATCATTAGTTAAACATGGGTTGTCAGAATTTATTTGGTAATGAACTGGAGAAATGTCCTCCATCATTATAGAAGAGAGAGGCACTTTCTCCGGATATTGTTAACAGGAATTAATTTGGGATTGTGATTTGAAATGCCAAGTATTCTACATACAGTACTTCACTTACTCTGGACTCTCTATCTAAATAGTTCAGTTAATATTTAGGGAGATTAGCTGAGCTAAGTGATCTGATTTATTTATATTTAAAATGTTTGGCCTCTTTCTATCCACTAGCCAGATAGCAGCAGATGGTGAAAGAGTGGGTTGGACTCTGTGTTGGCTCTTTGCCCTTGATCTCTTTTCCACAGCAGCCCTCTGGGAAGGCATTACTGGAGGTCACATGAACACACATGAAGCTGCCTTACACTGAATCAGACCATCGGTCCATCAGAGTCAGTATGGTCTACTCAGACTCATTCAGCAGCTCTCCAGGGCCTCATTCAGAGGTCTTTCACATCACCTACTACCTGGGTCCTTTCAACTGGAGATTCTGGGGATTGAACTTGGGTCCTTCTGCATGTCAAGCAGATGCTCTAGCACGGTGCCACAGACCCTCGGAGGACTCCATTAAAGAAAAAGCCACTGCCTCGGGGGCTGCTATGAGGCAGGAAGAATCCTAGACTTCCTCCGTCAAGCCATACGTTGGCTCAAGTTTTGTCCCAAGCAAGAGCTAGGTGATGATTTTTGCCCTCTTTTGTCTTTTCACAGAAGCCTCCTCTTCCTCGGAGCTTTTCTTTCAACATATATCCAGTGACTCCTGGTAGATCGGGGAGGGGGGAGCCACACACAGGGTTGTTTTGAAATGGGAGGAAGATCCACTGCTACAAATGCTCATGTAATTGTAGAAGTGAAACATTTGTAATAGCTAGTATACTTAGCCAGCTGACTATCTAAAAACTGCAGTACTCCAGAGTTCAACAGGCTAAGTCCTCTAAGGAGTAACTATGTGAGAGTTCGTCTGTCTTCTTCATGTATTTCAAATCCTACCCCAGTTACTAAAGGCTTCTATAAAATCCTAAGAGCTGATTAGCATTAAGTCTTGGATTACAGTGCTAGTAACAGGTTGACTTAATGCTTACTATATTGCTACTCATAGAGGCAGGCATGACCGGAGTTAGTTCCTTAACAGCCACATTGATGCAAAAACAGGCATTGTGCTTGAAAGGTGCTGTACCCCAAGTAACACTTTCTCACACACACACACAAAACTGTGTTGCTTACAAAATGCAGGAATCATTAAGTACTTCCTCATGATCATGCTGACTGAAAACAAATGATTGCGCACCTAGCTTCTTCCTGGTATTGCTAAAAGCTGTTACTTGAATACTATCAATTCTTCTTTCAGAGTTTTGAAATGATGTCTTTAAGCTTCTGACAATCAATTTGGTCCTAAAATGCTATTCTGTTACGGAGCCAACTACAAAGGACCACTTTGGATGTAACTGAATTGTATGTGCCAACCCAATATTGCTTGCCATTTTATGTATTACTTTGACGCTTCAGTTCCAATCTCAGAAATTTCTGACAACTGGTATAGCAGGTAGGTGGGTGAAATTTTGGCTAAGGCAACATATGGCTGAAGTGAGACTTGAGCTGCACACTTGCTGTTTCACAGCACAGTCACTATACTTGTGCTCAGTCATAAATGAATTACTCAAACTGGACCTGTAAGTTTTACTTGTTTAAAATAGACCAAAAGGGGGTGGGGATGCTCCCACACACAACAGCCCCCACTTCCTCCCTTCTTGATCTGAGCATTAACAATACTTTAGGTTGCCAAAGCAATCCAAAATGAGCAGTTGTGATCTTGTCATGTAGTCTCATGAAATCTGACATTCCTCTCCCCCCCCCCCCATTTTATTTACTACTTTGCTGCAAGGCTCGCAATGGCCACTACTTTGTAGAAACCTGTATCTTCACCCTAGGTGTTCCCGTGGCAGATATCTGATCTGTACAAAGGACATTCTATGGCTACTAGATAGGATTCTGCTGGCTAGCTGAAGTTTTATCCAAGTTTCTTGAATCAAAATAAACTAGAACTCTAGGAGATCAGATTTAACTCCCGGGACCTGCACCCTGTTATTTCAATGTGTAATATTCCGATATAAAAATTTGACCTGAGAAGCTGGAAACAGTCAGATGGCAATACGGACTCTGAAGCATTCAACAACCAAGCATGAGCCCTAGGGTTGGAATTTCCTGAACTAATTAAAACCACTGGTTCCAAAGGAATGTGCTTTGGATTTTGGCACAGAAGGTCAGATATAGGGGCCTTCTCATATACTCCACAAAAGGACATAGTGGCTAGGGGCCATTCCACATCCAGAGGATAGTGCTTTCTAATATTTTTTAAAGAAGACTGTAAAACTTGGTGAATCAAATCTTCTTGTTCCATTGGAGGAAGAGCGCATAAAGGGGATAACAAACCAGCCTCTGCCACATCTTCCTTTCCAATATCTGAACCTGTAAGAACCTTCAGGGATTCACGACCAATAGGAAGAACCTTATTAGAAACTAAAGAAGCCTGTGATTTCTTAAACAGGGAAGGGTGAATGAGGAAGAGAGAAAAGATCAATTAACATGGGAGTTTCAACTTCAACAGGTCCAGTAGGTCTCTCTTTGCTATATTTAACTGAAGTTTTATTGATCAAAACATTTTGGATTAATTTCAGATCAGATTTTGAGAGGACTTCATATATATATGAAGTCCTCTCAAAATGCATATATAGATATGCATTTGTGGGACTCCCCTTACTGTTTTGGGATCTTTTCAGGGATTTTTTTTTTTTGGGGGGGTGGTCCTGAAAACTGGAGACCATTTTAGCAACTTTCCTTGCTTGCAGGGACAGTGGAGGGAGGGTTGGGGAGAGAGAAAGCTGGTTTTTCCAAGGCAGAGGGCAGGTCTCCCCCAAATAGAAAATAATTACCATTTAAAGAAACTCTACACCCCACCAAACAGTTGATTAGTAGACCTAGCCTGGAAACCCAGGTCAACCAGTTCAACTATTTGGTGGCATCTCTAGTTCCTTTCAATTTTAAAGAGCAATGATTTTTATGGGGGTAGACCTGGCCTCTACTTTGGAGGCTAGGTTTTTCCATAGAAAACAATACTTTTAAAATGTAGGGGTGGGAGGAGATGCCATCAAACACCTGCTTCCCTGGCCTGAAGGATATCCGGCTGTCCTCAATCAGAGCCAGGGTCTTCTCGGCCCTGGCACTGGCCTGGTGAAACTCTCTGCAGAATGACATCCGAGCCCCGTGGGATCTAACACAGTTCTGCAGGGTCTGTATGACAGATATGTTCCACCAGGCCTATGATTGAGGATAGCAATAGTTTGCCATCAAGCCTGGTCTCCCCGTCTCCTCTCCTCTAGAGAAGGATATGAAATATTTAGCACCATCTGACTAGATTGATTATTGTTATGGTTGCCAGGTCTGGGTTGGAAAATACCTGGAGACTTTTGGGGGGGGTAGATCCAGGAGAGGGCAGGGTTTGGGGAGGGGAGGGGCCTCAGCATAGTACAATGCCATAGAGTCTACCCTCAAAGCAGCCATTTTCTCCAGGGGTGCTGATATCTGTCAGCTGGAGATAGTTGTAAAATCGGGAGATCCCCAGGCTCCACCTGGAGGCTGGCAACCCTAATCATTGTTATTGGGGTTTTTTATTTTTACCTATCTATATAGATCTATAGTATTATTTATACATTCTTGTTAACCTCCCTGAGCTCCAAATTGGGGGGAGGGCGGTATATAAATTTAATTAATAAATAAACATCTTTCTCTTCCTCTTGGCTCCCTGTGCCCGAAAGAT